CAATAAAAAATGTACCGCAAAAATTTCAGGGAAGAAAAGAACAAAAATATTTGATTTATTTTTCATTGATGTTGTAATTTCTCGGAACATCTGTTTTGGATAGTCATGATAGACATCATGTGCGGAAAAATGTTTTCAATATTGCCATATTTTTTTTCAATTTTTTTTTATTCGACTATAATGTATTGTGCAATAATAATGTGGAATATGAATATATTATCATAGCTGGTGGTGCTACTCAATATTTTTTTATGGTCTTTTTAAAATCATGGTGGAATAAGTTGGAGAGTTATTGAAAGTTTTAAGGGGGACTGGATGCATTTTTTTGTTGCCTTGGAAATGAGTCAATAATTAAGGCATTGCGATTTAATCACATCTTTCAAATAGTGCATACTTATTGTTGTCATAGCCAATAACTGCATCTTATTATGTGGAGGTCTCAATTCAATGCTCTAGCTTCATTTATAATACATACAATTCAATAAAATGACAATTAATTCTCTTGGGACTCGAACTAAGGTCTGTTGAGTCAGTCTTGCAATATTCAGATAATGAAAGCTACACCACTACGCCACTGAGCCCCCTAAGGTCATATAATGTAGTTGACTATAGTCGCTCCTAGTTTTTAAGATAATTTCTTCAATTTTTATAAAAACTCAAGTTCATTCTTATCAAACGCCCATAAAAAATCAAGACAATCTGCCTACATCCCCACAAACTCAAAATAACTTTGCTAAAAAATTTATATTCAAATTTCGAAATTAAAATAAAACATTTTTACACTCATAGAAAAAAAGTAACCATAATATTTGTTATATGTTTGTTAAACTAGTTTAACAAATTATTGATTAAGTTTACATGGGTAAAAAAAATTTCAACCAAACTATTTGTTAAAAATTTTACAATTGAGTTTGTTAAATCAACAAATTTATTTGTTAATAATTGATTTAATTAAATTTTAATTTTTGTATTCAAAACTCTTGTTTGATTAATTTCAAACGATTCCCATTAATTTATTGCGTTATTTTTAATGAGAAAACTGCTTTAAATTGAATTTTGTTGATTTTGTTTAACAAATTAATTTGTTAATTTTAACAAAACATTTGTTACAATGTTTTTATTTGTAATTTGTTTTGGAAAATAATGATTTACAAACCAAATTGTAATTTAAAAGTTAAATTTGTTCATTTTTTTAAGTCCTACATTTCTATTTTATTATTCATAAATTAATTTTAAAATTTGGATATATTTTTTAAAGAATTATTTATATTGGTTCTGAATCAAATTTTATAAGTAAAAGTTTACAAGCAGCGGACTAGCGGATCATCAACAGGAATTTAGAAGTTAAGCAACCACGGAAACATTTTAAAATAAGATGGGTGACCAAATTAACAATTTTCTGGTTAATATTAACCGAAAATTTGTTATTTTTTTCTGTAAAAAAAAATTTTAACAAAAAGTTTGTTAAATTAACAATTTTTATAGTTAACAATTCAACCTTACAAATAATTTGGTTAAATTTAACAAATAAGTTCGTAAACACTATTTTAACGAATTGTTTGTTAACATTTTCCATACAAGTTACAAACATTTTGTTACTTTTTTTCTATGAGTGTAATGTTGATGGAAGGCGGAGTTTTTTTTTTCTTGAATATAATAAAAAAAATATATTCTTGCACATGTCACGATATTCAGCGATGAACACTGCCTTTTTTATGAATTTCATTTTGTAGACAATTTTTTCTCTCTAATAAAAATTTAATAAAATGAGAAACAATAATGTGAACATATGAAGATGTATCGCTTGACACCAACTATAATAGCTATTTAATTCATTAATGAATTAATCATTGCAATGTTAAAACTTTACTTTAATTTTATTGCTTCAGCCGATAAGTTCCTCACTGGATGCTACGTCGAATGCAAAATGTGAGGAAAGAAAAATTTAAATTTGTAAGTGATGAGTAAAATTGGTCCCATATGGCTTATTTATTCAACAATTTTTATTGTTTCTCATTCTTTTATGCATTAGCATTGTATGGTCCCATGTTTCTTGTATCTTGCAACCCTCACGCATATTTAATGGTGATTATGGTTATATTTTGGTTAAATGCACTGAAAAAGTATGATTGCAAATGAGCTTCAAATGATTTTCTTTTCTACCATCTACGATTCGTGCATTGCATGGAATAATAATTTATATCATTTATGTTCTTGTACATTGTAAGTTCCCTTACCGATACAATACTAATAGATAAATGCAAAGTGAGTATAGATAACTTTTATAACAATGAGATTAACGCTAGTCGAATGAGATTTTTTTTTTCTTATTATTTGTTGGATTGTAGATGGTTTTTTGAGGTGGATGTATGGCTCTGTAAAGCATTTTGGGTGGTATAGAGTCAAATTAAATTGATTTCGTGTATAATATTAAAACCTAGTGACAGAATTGTTGCCAAAACAGTGGTCTGAATCCTTTTTAAGGTAACTGAATTGAAGGTCTAGTTTCTGGGTGCAGTATATCACCTGCCAGGTTATTATAAGCTTTAAATCAACCGAATGTAACTTTCAAATCTAGAACGCTCGAAGATTTCTTGCAGTCTCAATATAAAGAGTCCTAAAAGTATTAATCAAAACCACTTTTAATTCCTCACAATCCCAAAATTGCGCTTAAATTCATTTGACTTCTTCATCCAATTTCAAAAACAATTTTTCTACACATCGAGTGTGAGTCAGCTAGTCATTTAGTTGTTTTTTTGCACCCTCCTTGTAATACCACAATCTTTCCCTTTTTTTGTTATGTTCCTATTGTATTTTTTTGTTGTAAATAGTGATGTGTGCAGATATTGCCTTTTCAGATTTGTTTACTGTCAAATAAAAGTTAATTTAAATGACTATTTATTTCAACCCTGCGTTCTGTTGTTCCTTGCTCTTTTATTTTTTGGAAAGCAATAATTTGTCTTTATTTTGTGGCATGAGATATGACTTTTTTGTCTTCCTTAATTTCATCCCAATATTTGCTTTTCAATGCAATAAATTTTCGTAGATGAAAAATTTTACAGTTCCTGACACATTCTCATTTCTATTCATACAGATGGTATTATTATTAGTACAAATAAAAATCATAATGGTTAATGATATTGAGACAAAAGTAGCATATCCAACCCCAAATGAAAGCTAATTGAGCAATTTCCGAATAACAAAGTCGATCCTTTTTTCTCAATAATAACAAATAATTCGTGGAAGATGTACACGGCGGTCAAAAAGGCATATGGATATAAGTAAGTACGGCCTAGACATTATGGCATCATAACATCCTTTATGTCTTAACGACGAGAGCAACAGCAGAATAAAGGATCACTTTCACTGGAAAGAAAGCAGCAACATATGTTTTCAATACAAATTTACGCACATTTGGGATTTTTCGGATAGGATGCGAGTATTACAGCACCTGATTATGTACCCATAAAAATTGCGCATGTTATTATTAATATTATCATCATCACCCTCGACTTTCTATCTTTTTTTATTTAAACTAAAAATGGAAATAATTCAAATTTTCGTTGTCAAAATTGACACAAATGAATTTCAACAGCAACTCATGCTTGAAACATAATTCTTTTTTTTTTTCGTTGATAGATGTTGCACAATACAGCTCGCAACAAGTGCGAAAAATTCCCATGAAAAATCATCAAATAACTATCACATTTCAAGTTTTGTTGTCAGTTTAGATGATAATAATGAAATTATGTTGTTTTTTGTGTAAATAAATAAATAAAATTGTCGATTATTGTAAGGGCATTTGAGTATAGGAAGAAGGAGTGGAGGATTTGTTCAGCTGTTGAAAAAATTGGGATCTTTGAGATGTTTTTAAATCAGATTATTTGAAAGACATTTAATAAGAATCGAACCTTCTCCTTCTTACCAATACAAACTTCCGTTGTTAATAGCTACCGTGGTCTTTAACGCACTTTTGCTATCCGTAATAGACTTATACTTATGATGAATTTACTTACACAACAGAATGATATCTAGAGTAATGCAACATATGGAGTCAAATCTGCCAGTGCAAGAGTGGCTAGGTAACAAACTAGAAATCAGTTGCTTCCACTTTTATGAAGATGTAAGTTCAATTCTCATCAGATTTCCTAAATTTTCATGTAAACTACTGTTAATATGACAAGAATTCGCACAATGCTCATATCTTTATGATGCCTTTATCATCAAGATATCCCAAATACTTCCCGTAGATTTCCCTCATTTGCCACAGCACATCCATCCCCATTTACACTTCATCAAAAATAATTTAAATGGAAAATAAATTTATGACAATTCCAAAAAACAAATTTTTCGGTTAATCATCAGGAACTGAACAGACTTCTCGCTAAGAAAGTCATAAATAATTTAAGATTCTTAACATTCCCATGCGTTTTTATGCATGACTGAAAATCATTTCATCTTGAACGCCTTCTTTTTACACTCAGTTCCTTCATATTTTCTCTTAGAAGTGAGAGTTCCTGTTGAATATTTTTAATTTTTTTTTTTGTCACACAGTGGAAGTATCGTCATCGGCGTTCTGGCTAATTAATCACCCCTCTTAATATTACAAACATAGGAAGAAGTTTCACTTCATAAAAAATCATTTCCATATCACGCTTCGACACGACAAAAAGTAAGCAAGAGAGAGAGGAATATAATAAAAATTGAGCATATCATTATTGTTATTATTCTTTGATATGTGCATGCATTGCGTATGTCATGAGAGGGGGTTTTACAAATTGATTATTAAGCATCACAAAATGAATTTGTTTGCAGAACAAATTTGATCCGATTTGTAAATTAAACTCATTCAATTCCCTGAGTTATGCATGCATTCATTTATCCATTCAGTCATCCGTAATGATTGATTGCGATATTAAAAAAAAATATGCAGAGATAGGATAATTTCATAGCTAGGTGCATTTCGCGGACAAGAATATAAGAATATTGATCATACTAACATTTTAATTTCTCTAGCGGTTCGTGAAGAACTGATGGTGTATGCGGTGATGTAATATGATGATGATGATGATGACCGGATAAATCAGGATGCGTTGAATGATGCAAATGACTAAGTCCTGACGTTAATCCACTTCCAATTGAACCGACACTTGGTGACATTATATTTGAAATTGCTGATGAAACACTCACAGACGTTCCATCCATATGATGGTGATGATGGTTGTGCAGGTGATCATTAGAATTAGATTGACTTGTTGTTATACTACCATTTGCTGTAGGATTATTATTGTTATTGTTGTTGTTGTTGCCTACCAGGTCTTGTAGGCATAGGCCGGAAGTGTCTGCCATCGCATCGAGACCCGTTCGATCCATCATTGATATTGGATAGAATGATGGAAACACTTCCTGATATGAGCCGATGTTAATAGCTTTAAAAGCGTTTTTCACACTTTTGCTACCGAGTTCTGTTGTAGTCGCCACCGTTAGACTCTAAAAAGATGAGAAAAATAAATGATTAAAATTAAATTATTAAATTGTAAATTGTAAATGTGAAAATTGTTTACACCTACGAGAAAATATCTTATTGTGATCTTTAAATCTACAGTTTTCATCCTTAAATTCTTCTTTATTACTCGAAACTTTTAAACAAGCTTAATGAATTATTAGCAAAGCTGAAGAAAAAACAAATAACCAATAAAATGTAAGAATATCTTGCAAACTAGTCTAGTGACTGCTCTAAATTTTAATATTATTTGCAATTTTAATAGTTTTTTAACTGAAATTGACTTTTAGAACTTTTAAAAACCAGTTTTTGCATCTTTATTACTTTTTGCATCCTTCGAGAAAATTCAAATTTAAATAAACCTTTAGATTAAAATTGTTAAATTTAAAACAAAATCAAAATCGGATCAAAAAAAGCATGCAAATTTCCAAAAACAAATCTCATGACTTCCTCAATCTTCCCATTCTTTCAAAATAAATTGTAAGCGTTAAAAAGTGAAAATATAGTCACATAAAAATAAGCTCATTCTACAAACAATTTGATCTCTTTTATTAGACAGTGGTCAAAAGTAGTCATTGCAGAATAATATTTTAATCACCAAAAGATTAAAAGAGGATTTCTGATGAATTTTTTCTTTTGAATCGTTGTGGTATGTTTTATGTCTTACGAATTCAGTAAAATAATTTTCATTTAAAAATCAAAATTACGAGTGGGAAAATGATGAAAATTTTTTTTTGTGGACTTTAATTTTTACATTTTTATCACACATATTTTCTCATTGATGGCGATTTATATAAGCAATCGTCTGATATTTATTTGAAAGATTGAATCACGAAAAAATAAATTTGAAAAGCTACAAAATAATCATAGCGATTCCCAAAAAAATAATAAACATTGCCGTAACACGTGAATTAATTTTATTCACATGAAAAAAATGCTAATAATTTTTAAGTTTTCATTTTTACATCTGTAAATTTGTATTAGCATTGACATTGATGCTGTTCAAGACCGAAAATCTCTGCGTTGTTTGATAGTCAACAACGATTATGCAATCATACTCTAATATGTGTGTGCTGGATTTACAAATATTTGGAGTTTTTTAACATGAAACTTTCTTTTTTTTTGCATATTTATATTTCAAAAGTTTTGTTGACATAATGTTTTGTGACTCTACTTTCATCAAAACTTTCGATTTGGTATTTTAGAATGTAGAAACTTTAATGAAAAATATTCAGTAACGCATAATTTAGAATTAAGGTACATGAATCTTTTTATGTAAAAAAACATTTCGGAAGTAATTTGCTGATCACAAGGAATTTTCTTCATTTTTAAGTGAGTCAGCACTCTTCTGATTTGTTAACTTATCACTTAGAACATTTAGAAACAGATTTGTAATTGCTTTGTTTATTTTCTGAAGCTGCACGTGCATAACTTGTGTAATCTTTTCAACTGTGTAATCTGATTTGAAATATAATTCGTGATTCTATGGAAATACAAATTGAGATCAAAGGATATCCCTTGAGACTAAGCTTATTAGCAGCAATAACTTTGTTTTGTAAAATTTACTAATTTTATTTAATTTGAGTCTTCCGAAGATGAAGCGTAGACAATACTTCAATCTTAGGTATCATTGAAGGAATCTATTCACATGTAGGAAAATGAGGAAGTGTAAGAGTAAAGCCAGAGAAGTAAGAAGCTGAAAATTTTACATCAAATGCTTGTGATAAACGTGGGTTCGTTTCCCAATGGAATCTTCATAAAGAGTTAAGATGAATCAAATGAAGTCATGGAGTTCTTATTCAATAATTTATTTATGTCCCAAACAACAATAGCTTCTCAAAATCTACATGATATTTAAAATAATATAAATTCAACAAAAGAAAAATTCCTTTCTCAAAATTTTTCTCCCGACATCTTAAATTGTCTGCCTTTTAAAGCACATCAAGTCGCACACAAAAAAAAAACTCTGAAAATTTTCCTACAAAAAAATTGTTTCTTTTCAGCTCTCAACATATTTTCAAATTTAAATAATTGCAAAAGAATGAAAAGGAAGGCAAAAAAAATCCGCTCGAGTGTGGCACTCAATGTGTGTAATATGAATCCACAAGCAACACTCAATGTGACTAGATAGAACACAGAGAAACGAAAGAAAAACATTTTTTCTCCTCCACTTGCTACAATAATAAATTATAATTTTATTGTAATGGCGTCAGGAAGGTCTGTCTATCTATTTATCTGTTTATCTACGTATGATTTTCAAGACTTCGCACGAACAACACGACAAGAAGAAAAAGTTTCCTTCATCTGTTTCTGTTATCTGCTGTTTTAATAAACCTTTTTTTTGGAACAGGAAGAAGAAGAGAAGAAGAAAAATCGATATTATGGTGCGCCCATCAAAAGCTAATAATCTCTTCCTTTCCATCTTCACATCTGTGCTTTCAATTCATATTTGTGTGTCTTTTCCAGTGCATTTTTCATGAGATTAGGAGCTTTCTTCTTCACATTGGGTGATGGGCTTCTTTGAATTCATTTTTAATTGATTTTCTGACTTTGAGAGCTAGTTAAGCTTAAAAACTTTATTATTTAGGTTCTTGCTGCTTTGAATTGTAAAATTATGGCTTTATTTTACCTTATTACGAATTATCTAAAGATTTATTCAATGAAAATTCTTAAAACTGAAAAGTTTGCCATTTTTGTTCTTGATTTTTTAAGCTTATAAAGTTCAAAATTCCAAAACCCGTTAAATTATTTTATAAACATTTCGAATGCGTTTTAAAATGTTTAAAGTAAAATTCAAGTGTTTTCATCCCACATCCATTTTCTAATAATGAAACTTTCTTCCATTCCATCTCTTACATCGAATTTTCCTCCTTTTTCTTGACATTTTTGCTCCATCAACAACAAAACGTACACATCCACACACACAAAAATCGTCTGTGAATGGCGAGGAAGTTTTTATGACATTATCAAATGTGGAAAAGAAAGAAAAATCGATAATTCGAATGGGATTTTAATGGGATCACACACATTTATGTTCTTTTTTTTCTTCTCCATTCTTAAAGAGTGAAAGTAAAGGCAAGGAGACACACTTATTATTATTGGCATTATGTTGATGTTGACGATGATGATAATGGCTTAATATGTAGATAAGTAGATGTGTGTCTACTACTTTGTGCTTGTATACATAGAATTCAAGATTGGAATTTATGGGTTTAATTTTGGATGTTTGAACTTGAATGTGCTGTTGGGGTGATTTTATGGTCAAGTTTTTGGATGAATTTTGTTGGAACTAAGGCAGTGGAGTTTTAGCTTTAGTAGAATTTTGAAGAATTCTTTCAAAATACTAAAGCTATGCAGCTATTGAAAATGAAATCCAAGAGATTTCTCGTGCCCTATCACTAGCTGCACTTTACCAAAAGTTCAAATGACCTCAAATATTTGCTCATATAATCTTCCATCGACACTAATACTCGATACGTTCTAATAAAATTTAATATCTCAGACACTCTTCTCAAAGTCAATAAAATATCATTAAATAAGAAGTAGACAAAAAATATACTCAAGAATCACACAACATTAATTAGAGTTGAGACTAGAAATAATATTTATTTTTCCACGAAATTTATATAAATTTATTTCGTGACAATTCATATTTTTGCACTGATAAGTGGATAAGGTTAAAGAAATTAATTTTTTTATGATAAGTGAGGGAGATAATCGGGTTAAAAACTTTAAGAGAGGGCAGAAATGAAATCATTCGAATTTTTTTCTAGGGGATTTTTTGCGACTTAGCATTTCAAGAATGCGATATGAGTAAATGTGTCAACCATGAGAGTTGTATTATTTAAAAATTAGTCTTTACTTGGAAAATGCGTATTGAACTTTGAATCATTGGAATTTTGATTGAATTTCTATTTTTATGAAATTTTTAAAATTTGTGAATTTTCAATATGCTTTGGTTCTTAGTCATTATTTGATGTTTAAAAAAACTTTAATAATCGCTGAAAGTTCATCATCCAAAAACTATTAAAAACTAATTCTAGCTTTAAATTCTGACGCGCTAAAGCCTTTTTTTGATAAATAGCATTGCATAAACTACTGTTTTGGACATATTAGTATCTTATGCGATTGAAGTTTAAAGATAAGATGCATTAGATAACAATAGTAAACGAAATCTATAGTTCCTTAGATTTTAACTTTTGATATGAATTGAAAATTCTGTTTTTGTCACGTTTTTGACTGATTTTGATGAATCAGTACTGCAAAGTTATAATGTTGCAAACATTTTATTTGTTATTTGTTTATTGATAAAAATGGAATTTGCACGGTAATTCTGCTTGGTTTTTTTAATCTTTGAGAGTTAAATTTTATTTAAAAACCAACTTATGAAGCTATAAACATATAATAATAGTTTATAAATGCATTTAAATCTAAAACAAACTTAGTTGAGAATTAATTTTAATTTAATTTGAATTTTTCTTCGAAATTAGTAAAGTCAAGAAAATCTTGTTAAAGTAAACTTAACTCAAAGGTTAGAAACCTAAAGGATTTAATTAATCAACAAAACAGGATTTAAATTGAATGTTATGAGAGAATTAACTTAATAATCAAGTTTGACACTACTTATTTAATACTTTGATGGATTCTAAGCTTAGCAAATTACTTAAACCCTCAAAACTTGCTTTAAAACATTAAAATTTAAAACTTTACTAAAAACCAAACAATTTTAATTTTCTTAAGTACCAAAGGATGTTGTAAAGCATCCATCAAGCGCTAATTGTCTTCAACAAAACATAAATTGCACATAAAAGTCTCAAATTAAATTATGAAAGCCACAAATTCGAGAGAAGTAGCAAGTAAGTAAGCTCACGGC